GAGTTTGAGGTACCTACTCACCCAAAAGGAATTGAATCTTAGACAACGTCGATGGTTGGAGCTAATCAAGGATTACGATTTAGTCATTGAGTATCACCCGGGCAAGGCTAACATCGTGGATGATGCTTTGAGCAGGAAATCGTTAGCCGAGCTACAGCTTCAGTCTCCGTTAGAGCAGGAGATCCGTACAGCACAGAGAGATGATGAGTTTTGTCAGAAGACTCGAGAGTTAGTTCCTACAGGAAAGTGGCCCGAGTTTGCAATTCGCGATGACAGAGTCTTGTACTATCGTGAACGCCTAGAGGTGCCCCGCGGTGGAGTGAGGGATCGCTTGTTACGCAGGCTCACGTAACCGTTTACACTATGCACCCGAGTAGTAACAAGATGTATCAGGATTTGAAGAAATCCTATTGGTGGCCAGCTATGAAAAAGGAAATCTCCGAGTTCACTGCGCGCTGTTTGACTTGTCAGCAAGTCAAGGCTGAGCACCAGGTTCCGACAGGGTTGCTCCACCCTCCTACCATTCCAGAATGGAAGTGGGAAAGGATCACTATGGACTTTGTGATAGGATTGCCACGATCTTCACGAAAGAATGACGCCATCTGGGTCATTGTTGACAGGTTGACAAAGTCCGCTCATTTTCTACCCGTCAGACGTGACTCCTCATTGGACAAATTGGCAGACTTATACAATAGAGAGATAGTTTGGTTGCACGGTGCACCGCTGTCAATCATATCTGATAGAGATCCCCGGTTCACTTCGATGTTCTGGAGAGGACTTCAGAAGGCTTTTGGCACAGCTTTGAACCTTAGTACGACATTTCACCCTCAGACCGATGGCCAGTCTGTGAGGGTGATACAGATTGTCGAGGATATGATGCGAGCTTGTGTGATCGACTTTGGAGAAGATTGGGAGCGTTGCTTGCCGTTGATGGAGTTTGCATATAATAACAGTTACCAGGCGAGTATTCAGATGGCTCCGTATGAGGCACTCTACGGCAGAAAGTGCCGAACCCCGATTTGTTGGACAGAGCTTAGCGAGCGTAAGCTCGAGGGACTAGATATTGTGCAGGAAACCGAGGAGAAGGTTAGTGTGATCAAAGACCGACTCCGCACTGCTTCGGACAGACAGAAATCTTATGCAGACTTAAAGAGACGAGACATAGAGTACAATGTTGGTGACATGGTATTCTTGAAGGTTTCACCTTGGAAGAAGGTCCTACGGTTCGAGAAGAAAGGGAAGCTTAGCCCTAGATTCATTGGACCCTACCGCATTCTGGAGCGAATAGGACCTGTTGCTTACAGGTTAGAGTTGCCACCAGAGTAGAACAGGATTAATGACGTCTTTCATGTCTCCATGCTACGTAGATACCGTTCAGATCCGACTCATGTGTTGCCGACCAATGCTGTAATCCTCGACGAGAGCTTGTCTTACGAAGAAGAGCCAGTTAAGATCTTGGCGCGCGAAACTAATGTACTAAGAAATAAGACGGTACCTTTGGTAAAGGTACTATGGCGTAATCATGCGGTGGAAGAAGCAACCTAGGAGACCGAAGAATCTATGCGAACTCAGTACCCTCATCTCTTCGACGACCAATGACTCAGGTAATTTCGAGGACGAAATTCTTTTTAAGGGGGGGAGAAATGTAACGCCCCGAAATCTGGCCCAAAAGAATTAATTAAATTGTTAGAGCAATTGATTACGAATTGGGCCCAAAAAGGGGTTAAAATTATAATTTGGATTCTAAGCCCAACTTTTATGTCATCTCGTAGGAAATATTTTTGTGATCGCGT